ATCTCAGGGTTTTTGCGAGATAGGCTAAAACGAACTAAAAATCAACAAATTAAATCGAAAATTACATTAATTTTGCATTTCTTGAGCGTTTTAACACGTTTTTTTTAAGTAGAAACGCAATAATTTCGCGAAATTTTAATAAAAACAAGCCAAAAACCACAGAATTAAGCCGAAAATGATATCATTTTTTTCTTTTTCGAAAATTCAACAAATTTTTAAGCTGCCACAGCGTGTCAAAAATCACTAAATTGTTATAAAAAAAGATTATATTATATTTTTACCTAAATTTTAGGTTTTACCTTGATTATTTCGCCAAATTTTCTCGAAGAAAAAATAATTGAAAACCACCAAATTGGTTAAAAATAATTCCATTTGTTTTTCACAAGATATTACTAAACAGAGTCAAAAATGATAACTTATTTTTGTTTTTTTTTCGAATGCTTTTTTTTAGTTAGAAACACAATTATTTTGCAAAATTTTGTAAAAAACAAGAAACAAATTCAACAAAATAGCCCAAAAAACGACGTTTTTTTGTATTTTTGGGATATATACCTAGTTCTTAGGTTTTAACTTGATTATTTCGTAAAATTTTCTCGAAAAAAAAAATAATTGAAAACCACCAAATTGGTTAAAATACAACTTATTTTTGTTTTTTTCGAATGCTTTTTCAGCTAGAAACACAATTATTTTGCAAAATTTTGTCACAAACAAGCGACAAATTTAAAAAAATAGCCCAAAAATGGCTTTTTTTGTCTTTTTGAGAAATAAAAACCCAAAAAGTTCGAAATATTGCATTAAAACAGGTTAAAAAATTACAAAATTAAATCAAAAATCTCATTTTTTAGCTTGTTTGTTTTTAAACCAGAGTTTCATTTATTTTGCAAAATCTTGTCCAAACAAGCCGAAAAATCACAAAAAGTACTGATATTGATGTTATTTTGTTTGTTTTATTTGATTTTTGAGCAAAATAAGACAAAAATAAACCGAGAAAACACAAAATTTGGTCAAAAATGCTTCTTAAGCACATTTTTGTACTAAAATCTTCGCTAGATTT